TCCCTGATAAGCCCTAAAAAAGGAACTTTCTCCTATCAGGCAAGAGTACAGACACTGCACCATGCTGTTCCAATGTTCTGAGTTCCTTGTGCTCTCTTTGGGGAAATGTGGGTGACTCACAGCGGGTTCCTCCTTCCAGGATACAGGGTGATTCATCCCCACAGGGACAGAAGGACAGAAGTTCTTTTGGGACTAAAGAGGACAAAGGCGTGTGTTTGTGTTTTCATTCTCCCATCCAGTCTCAGACACATCTTCCTGATTTTGGCCAACGGAGAAGCAGCACCAGGACCGGCACCAGCACCAGCACCAGCACCAGCACCATGAGCGTGCACACACATGCGTGTGCGTGTGCGTGTGTGTGAGACTTAGGGGACAGGACTTGGGCACAGGGAAGGTCACAGCACTTGATTTTTCTTCTCCTCCTTCTTGTGTGGGTTGGTGGGCCTGGAACTCAGAGAAGGTCTGATGGAGGTGGCAGACCCCTGCAAGGGCCCAGCAGATGAGGGTCCCAATCCTGGTTCCACCACTACAACCTCTGGTGACCTTGGGGAAGGCAGCTCAGTTTCTCCACTGTAAAATGGGACTGACAGGCTTGGCTACAGCCACGGGGTCTGGTCCCTGCCTGATTCGGGGTCGGTGCTGGGCAGATCTTCTCCCTCACCTGAGCTCACCTGCAATGGGAGGCAGCCGCACACCTGTGCACCTTCACCACTTCGTTTCCACTTTCTGAGATGGGTCTTCATCTTCCGCAGTGAGACTGGCCATGGCAAATGCCTCTTCTGCAGAAATCTGCTCAGACTGAAGTCTGGGCAGTGTGGAAGCAGGGGCCACAGGAATGACACTTTGTGGTCCCTGAAAAAGGGTGAAGTGTCTGTGTTCTGTGAGGCTGTCACCAGTCCTGGGAGGTTTTGCAGGGAGGGAGCTTGCTGAGTATCTCCCAGCCAGTTAAGGAGCAGAGTGGAGAATGAAGACAAAATGGATCGATCCTCTCAGTGGAGAATGTTCTTTCCTGGAGGTGGTGCTTATCATTGTCACGCAAGTCTCAGAACTGTTCTGCCAGAGATACTGAGCACCCGCTGTGAGCAGGCAGCTGTACTGGGACCCGAGGACAGAACGGTAAAGAGACCGAGGTCACCTTCCCTTGTTGGACTGAGGGGACCTCTCCAATTTAGTACTGGTTCCACGGCTGTATAATCTTAAGGCCTCCAAAGAGATGAGGACCTGGGGGCTCAGAGGGATTGGGGAAGGCTAGAGCTAGAGTTTGAACCCTCCTGTCCACAGGCGGTGTGGACACTGCCTGGCCCAGCCTATTTTTAGAGGAGCCGTGTGGGGCAGCTGGGGAGACAATGAAGAATGTGCCCCCACAATGGACCATTGTCCCCACAGTGGCTTCAGGGCCAGGCTGGGCCCAGCAGATGACTCCCGGCCCCCACTGGGGGCTGGGCCACTACTCCACGTTTATGGATTTTTCCAGTGATTGTCATGGGCAGGAATGAAGCATTGGTCCTGGGGGGAAGGGGGCGGTGCAGGGAGACAGGGGTGTCCTGTGTGTTCCTGGGGACTCGTTCTGTTGGGGTGTGAAGGCCGGGGGCTCGCTGGGCGGGGCTTAGGCGCTGTGGGGAGGGGGCCTTCCCCATCCTGTGCCTGTTTGCACAGCCCATTGCCTTGTGGCTCTCCCGCATCCCTGTGGGTTCCGGGTCCTCGGCCCTTCCGCAGAGACATGATGGCAGCCTGGGCCTCGCCTGGTCTTCACAGCGAGCAGGGAGCCCTGCATCACTCCGCCTGGGATGGGGATGGGGTGCGTGCTTGAGATGTATTTCTTTCTTTCTTCTTGAACCAGATTCTCAGGTTGAGAACCATTGGCCTTATGGGATTGGGGATTCGAGAGTCTACTCTGCGCCCCCCCCCCCCCAGACCCTGGCAGGTTAAATCCTCTCCCTCACTGATTCTGAGGGTTCTCCCTACGACCCCCCACTAGCTTGTGAGTTTTTATCTAGTCAACCCTCCAGGGACTAAAAGGACCTGGCATATAATAGGCGCCTAATAAATGTTTGTTGGATGAAGTTGGACTGGCTTCAGTTTCATAGGTACAAAGCAGCAGAGGTGAGATTGGACCCCGGCCTGTATGGACAGCATGGGGGTGGCCGTGTCACACAGCCTCACCTCAGAGGGGCCCATTCGTAGGTCTGGGAGCCAGGTTCGCAGGCACATCCCCCCTGCTGAATCCGTGGATCTCGGCATCTATGGGAGGTAGGTGGGTTCCGGGCCTGCTCCCATTTCACAGATGTGAGCTGGGGTGGGACTGGCCTGCCCAGGTCCACAGGGCTCCCGGGTGGTGAGCTGTCCCATCCCTTCTCCAGCACGAGACTGTGAATGCTGACCTTTCTCCTGCCCCACGGCAGTGACCGATGTGGGTCCCATTTCGACTGGCTGCTGGAAGCAGGTTAGATGTCACCTGGAGTGTTCTGTATTCCACTTTGATGCCTCATTTATTACTCTTTGGAAAATAAATGCTGTACTAACCTGAGGTGTGGTTTTGTGTTCCAAGCCTTTCGGTTTGAAGTGGTGAGAAGCGTGGGGGGCACTGAGGCCAGCTGTCTACCCGTGTGGCTCTGGCCACCGACTTCTTCCTGAGCTAGAGTGGGTCCTGTGGCCCTTGCAGGGCTTTCGTGAGAAATGCAGGACGTGGAGGGAGGTGCCTCGGCCCTGCCTCGGCAGGTCTCATGTCCTGTCCTCAGCAGCCAGCCCCGGCGGGCGGAGAGCCAAGAGTGGGGGGCACTTCAAAGGGGAGGTCACTGCTCCTAGAGGTGGACATCACTCAAGTCAGGTGAGAAATTCGCGTCCTCAGAAGCTTCTGGTGAACTTGAGACGGGAACGCAAGACAGGCGAGGGCCGAAGGGTGGAGTGATGGACTGAGAAAGGTCACAACCGCCCTGCAGAGAAGGTTAGGTGACCATGGCAGATGGAAAAGGAGTCCCCGAGTGAGCCGAGACAGGTGGCTTTTGTTTTTAGGATGGAAGGAAGTTGAGCCTGTCTTCAGCTCTTAGGAAGGAGCTGTTAGAGGTGGAGTGTGGAGGGTGTGGGATGACTGGGCGAGGGGGCCAGCTCAAGGACACGGGCTGGAGAATCGGCCCTGACCAGGAAAAGAGCCACCTGCTCTCTGAGAAGTGAGGACAGGAGGGAGGATGGACGTGGTGCCATTTAGGATTCCTTCGGTCAACCGCACATGGCTTATGTGGGATTGGAAGATGTCGGCCCACAGGACTGAAAATCCCAGGGGCTGGGTGCCATCGCCAAGCTCTCCTTTCTTTCTTCCGTCTGGGCTGGCTGTGATTTCAGGCAGGCCCTTGCTTCGTGGTAACAATGTCGCTACTGCAGATCCAGCCCTCCCACCCTTGCTAGGTCAAGTCCAACTCACGTCCTCAGTAGCTAGAAGTGGGTATGGTCGGCTCTGATTGGCCTGACCCCACTCATGCCCTGGTAGCCGGGACATAGAATGCACGATTTGGCCTCAGTCTGGGAAACACGGCAGTGGGGGAGTCACTGTCAGCAGACCTAGGGCTGAAGGTGAGAGTGGGGAGGATTCCCAGAGGAAACTGGGGACTGTGCTAGGAAGTAGGGAGTGAATTCTGGGCAGCCCCAAACCATCAAACGTCCATCACAGGTGTAACAACCTGTGGGGCAGGTGAGGCACGGGAGCAGGTACTCCAGGGAGCTCATCCCTTGATGGCCTCAGTCTTCCAGGTGGAGAAAACAAAGGCCTGTGCAGAGGGGGCTGCTGGGGCCAGCCCGGGCTGTTCCCTCTGTCTCTTCATCCAGCTCTCCTTCCTCTGCCCTCGCATCTGGCCAGGCAGATCTGCTGCCCGAAACCAGGGCTCTGGAGGCCAAATGAGAAGCATACTCGGAGCTTCCTCAAAACACAGCGGGAGTCGTGCAGGGTGTCTGCAGTCAGTAAGTCCAGCCACCCCGAGGCCATGAGCCCCACATGACGGGCCCTCTGCTCTCTTTCCTCAGGAGCAGGACATCGAGACTCTGCATGGCTCCATTCACGTCACGCTGTGTGGGACCCCCAAGGGAAACCGGCCTGTCATCCTTACCTACCATGACATCGGCATGAACCGTAAGTTCTAAGGAACTGTGGCTCCCTGGTCAGCCAGGTCCCGAGAAGGTGGCTAAAGGGATCTAGGAAGGTCTGGGGGCTGGGATCTGCTGTCTTTCCTTCTCTGGGGACTTCCTGGAGCTATTCTGGGAAGAACTCTTGCCACAGCCTGGAACAGCCTGAAATGCCCTGCATGTGGGGCTCGGAGTTGTGTGTGTGCCCGGAGGTGCTGGGGACACAGGGAGCCCTCTGTTGTCTGTCTGTCTGGGACAATGACTTTTAAATTGGTGTGTACAACGGTTTTTAGTATTTTAACAGAGTTGTGCAACCATCAGTTTTAGAATATTTTCATCATGCCAAAAAGAAATCCTGTACCCTTGATCTGCCTTCCCCCCAGTCTTCCACACCCTGCCCCCACAGCCCCTGGTGACCAACCACTTGTCTACCTTCCTTCTCTCTGAATTCACCTCTTCTGGAATTTTGTATAACTGAATCATACAATACGTGATTTTACGTGACTGGCTTCTTTCATGTTTTCAAGGCTTATCCATGTCGTGGCACATATCAGTGTTTCGTTCTTTACTGCAGAATAATGTTCCATTGTAGTACACCTTGCTTGGTTCATTCATCCATTGGTTGGTGGACATTTGGGGTGTTGTCACTTATTGGCAATTATGAATAATGCTGCTATGAATGTTTAGACAATGTATTCGTAAGACTACCAGAAAGTGTTATCACCATATGTGGGTTCCCTGCTTTTCATGGATGGAAATGAAATAGGATCCACTGAATGTTAAAATTACCCAGAATAGAGGTGGATTTTTCTGTGGTGATTCAGAGGGCACTGGCAGGCCTTCCTGTCCAGCAATCTTTGTGAACTTGAGTGTTGCAAGCTGAATGCTTGCTTGATTTGTGATTGACGTGCTACCTGATTTATATTTTTTCCTACAGTTTATTAATTAATACCCTAAAGATGGGAGTGATGTCAGCCACTGAAAACCTCCCTTCCCTTCATTCTCACTTTTCTTTGATCTCACTTCTTCCCCTGTCTGTCCGCCTCATACCCATTACGTGCCAGGTCCCACACTAGGTATTTTGACAGACTTCATCGTATTTTCCTGGACTCTGACAAGGAAATGGAATTGCCTATGGCTATGTTACACCCCCATTTTAGAGAGGCTCATCGTGTGTTGTAGTGGGCTAAATGCTATAGCAAAAGCCCCCAAGACCTCTGCTGTTTAACAGAATATACATTTATTTCTCTGTCATGTAACAATTCGGTGGGTATTCAGTGGGACATGTTCCATGCGGCAATTCAGGGACCCAGGATCCTTCTAGCTGGTGGCTTCACCATCCTCTGCGGCCTCAGAGGCTTCTGCTGGCAAGTCTGCTTTTGGCAGGTATATGAAAGAAGAGAGAGAAACTTAGAGGAGGGGTGGCAGATGTTATGAGAAGATGGCAAGCATCACAGACTGTTCGCCAGAAGCTGATCACATGGCTACCTCTAATCGCAAGGAAGCCTGGGAAATGTAGTCCAGCCATGTGCCCAGGAGGACCAGGGAAATGGTTTGGTACCAGTTGGCTGTCTTTGCCTCAGGCCCTCAGCAGTGAGCAGACTCATCCAAAGCCACATCATGCTCCTCCTTGTTTCAGAATTATACGTGCCCTGGCCAGTACCCCAGATGTGAGGGTTTGGGAGAGACAGAGAGAAAGAGTATCAGTGGAGCAAGCCCACCCCACACAAGGGCCATCACGGCCTTTACTACTGGGAGGCAGCAGGAGCTGGACTGGGCACCCCTCCCAGCCCCAAATGCAAGTTTAAGATTCTCCCTGTGCCCTGGAGTTTTCTGACCTTCTCCACCCCCTTCCCCACTCCCCTGCCCTGTGATTTAGTCTTGCCTTTTACCACCAGGGGAAGGTGGGAGTGGGGAGTTGGGTTGGACGGGGAAGATCCGGACTTCTCCTTGTGGTTTGTTTTCTGCTGCTGAATAGGAGGGGGCAAACAAAATTAAGCCACAGAGTCACCTCATTTTTTCTCACCTAACTTGCTTCTCATCTCTCTCCCCTGCCCCTTCTCCAGACAAGACCTGCTACAACCCCCTCTTCAACTCCGAGGACATGCAGGAGATCACCCAGCACTTTGCCGTCTGCCACGTGGACGCCCCAGGCCAGCAGGATGGCGCTGCGTCCTTCCCCGTGGGGTAGGAGGCGGGCACCTCGTGCCCTGTGAGACCTGGGGGAGGGGGGGAGGGGGCGGGAGAGAGGGCATCAAGCTGGCTTTAAAAAGTTTTTTTTTTTTCTATTGTGGTGAAATGTAAGATTTACTATTTTAGCCATTTGTTATTATGGTAAAATATGTATGACATAAAATTTACCATACTAGCCATTCTTAAGTGCACAGTTCAGTGACATTAAGTGCATTCAGTGTCGTTGCCACCATCACCACCGCCCATCTCCAGTACTTTTTCGTCCTCCCAGACTGAGGCTCGTGCCCATTAGACACTGTCCCCCCTACCCCCGTCCTCCCGGGTAGGCTGGCTTGATGATAGGTGCCCTAGACCGGGACAGGACTGAAGTACATAGGGCCTTGACAAGAGCAAACAGGGAAGAGAAAAGCCTAGATAGATGGGAAGAAGAAGAGAGGGAGGGAAATAATACTGATGCAACCCTTGCTGTGGGCCAAGCTTACTCATTTTTATTTAAAGACATCATTTTCACTTAATCCTCAGGGCTAGTCAGGTGTGGCTGGCGTTGTTAGCTGCATTTTCCAGATGAAGAAACTGAGGCTTGAAGAGGTTAACTACCTTGCTGGAGGCTGCACAGCTGGGAATTGGGAGAGTTGGGCTTTGACCCTAGCTGCTGACTCTAAGACTCATACTCTCATTGGGACATCAGGCTCCCAATGTGTTGGGGGAGGGAGGCAGACCTCAGAGATGCACACCCCCTTCCCAGGTGCCACCCCCTACCCCCATGCTGTGATTAAACCAGGGTAGAAGGAGTTTCTTGGGTTTAAAATTTTCCAAAAGGTGCCTTGTTGGCATTAACAAATCAATATCTTTTTTTCATTAGTGTTTGGTATTCCCCTTAATAATTAACCTTTATCAGAGAAGAAGGAAGGGACACAGTCACATGGGGCCAGGACCAAAAATAAAAAGCTTATTAAAACAATAGGACACGGTTAACTGTTAACCAGCAGATAAAGCCAGAGGCCTTTCAGTAAATCTGTCTTTGGTTGGACCCACTGAAAGATCTGGGGTAAAGTAGAGGCTCTTAGCTCCCCCTGGGGAGGTTTTAAAAATATTCTGAGGCTGGAACCCCACCCCCGGGAATTTGTATTGCATAGATCTGGAGGCCAAGGTGGAGGGTATTTTCCTACCAGGTGATTGGAGTGTGCAGCTGGGGGGAACCACTGTGGAACAGGACCTGGCTTGTTCCTGCCTCCTGGAGTCAAGATCAGGGAGGGGGATTCCCAGACCCTCCCTCCTGAGGCTGAGACAGCCAAGCAGGGATGGGAACCCCTGATGTGCTCCTCCAGCTCTGGAGTCAGCTGCCCACACAGGGGCAGGTGCCCTGTGAGTACAATACTGTCACCACCTCACTGTGCACGCAGCCCTGGGAACAGGGAGGGTACTGAGGCCCCTGAAGTTAGTGGCTTCCTGTTTTCACACTTTGGGAGCTGCTGGCTGGCTCCAAATGGAGCTATGGCCAGTTCAGATGGAGCCTGGCGCCTTTGCCCCTCTCCTCCACTAAGGCCTTTTCTCCCTCAGTTTACACCATCCAGGCATCCAGGCTCTTTCTGCCTCCTTCCAGGGCTTTTGCACATGCTGCTTCCATGCTTAGAATATGTTTGCTACACTCTTCATTCATTGGGCTCCTGTGCCCCCTTTAATGTCACTTCTTCCGAGAAGCCCTCGCTGACCACTTGGTCATCATGGGTCTCCTGTTCAGTCTTCTCTCCAGCACTCTGCTTTCCCCTGGGAGTCTTTGTTACAAGTCACACCCAGTGACTTCCCTGCCGGACTGTGTCTGCTTGGCTCCCATGGCCTACCCGTGGCCTCCCCAAGAGCAGACATGTGTAAGGATCAATAACTCCTTTGCTGATGGAATTCATTCATGCCTGTTGTAATTCCTCCTCCCCGAGGTTGCAATTGTGAAATGCCTTCTAGTCAATGTTGTCCCCACTGCCTCCAACATCCTGAACCCAAAGCCAAACACACAGAGAGGACAGCTGTTTCTGGCCAACACTCTGTAGGTTGTGTAAGGCCAAGTGGCTCATGTCTTAGCCTCTATGATTTGTGTAATCTTGATATTGCGGAAGATCACAGCAGCCTGCTAGTTGCTGTGGGGATTCAGTGAGCTGGTAATGCTCATAAAGAGTTTGCATGGGGCCTGGAGCACAGTAAGCAGTTGATTGTAGGATGTGCTATGGGATTCTTGTATGAGGGTGTGAAGGGCACTAGACGGGGAGTCGGGGCACGTGGGGCGGTTGTCCTGTGACTCCTGCCTGCAGGTGCATCCCCGTTTGGATTTCCTGTATTCACCAGGCTCACCAAGTGCCTCTCTGTGTCTCCCCCAGGTACATGTACCCCTCTATGGATCAGCTGGCTGAAATGCTTCCCGGAGTCCTTCACCAGTTTGGGTAAGAGCGAGGTTTCAACTCCCCCACAGTTTGCAGAGAAGTGTGGCTTCTAACTTCCTCCTCTCTGGCCTTGATCTGGCCTGACCACTCAAATTTAGGTGGGAGTTTAAAGATAGGCAGGAAAGGAGCTTGGCACTGTTCTTTGCACAGTCTCTTTGCTCCAGTCTGCCTCCTATGACTTCAACTTTTCTTCTTGAGTGAATACGTTACGTGATGACAGCCACCCAACCCGTCCTGTCCTTGCCCGCTGCTCTTCCATTCCCTTCTCCCTCCAATGGAATGTTCTGGAATAGGGCTACCCGAGACCTTCACTTCCCTCTCCACACCCTCATTTCTCCAGTGCTGTTTATTTCTTCCTTGAGCCTTTCATATGATGATAATACCTCATGGTTCTTGCCCAATGTGTTTTCATTCCCAGTTTTAGAATCCAAAATAAAGCTTAAGAGTGGTAAGAGGCAGCTCTGTAATGGACCTTCCCATAAAATGTCAGATGGGCTCCCAGAGCCTGGGCAGCAGCCAGGAGGAGAAAGGGCGAGTCTCTCCAAGGTCATGGGCTCTGTCGAGTCATGAAACATGATGTATTTCAGGTCTTTGAGGCCAGGTCATGGCGGTGTGCCCCCACTTTGTCTAGCTTGCCAGCTACCCTCAGTGATGACCTGGACAGACACTGAGGGAACAATGTTCCTTCAAGACAAGGGGTGGGGGAAGCTTTAAGTGCGTTTTATGGCTCGCATGACTCTTCTTGTGCTACGTGACTTTCTATTTCTGCCTCCAGGCTGAAGAGCATTATTGGAATGGGAACTGGAGCAGGCGCCTACATCCTAACTCGATTTGCTGTGAGTTCTTTGGCGTATTTAAAAAATTACATTTTAAATAGAATTAATTCAAGATTAAGGAAGACATTTGGAAAAGCATCCAAATACAAAAAGGGAAAAAGGATCCTTCATTCAATTTCCCGAGGGATGAGCGCCAGAATCATGGGTGCTAGTGTGTGCGCACATGTGCGAGCGTGTGGGTGAGTGTGTGGGTGCGGGTGCAAGCGTGTGCGCACGTGTGTGTGTGGATGCGTGTGCAAATGTGCGAGTGTGTGTGTGCAAATGTGTGTGCTCACAGACACGCTCACAGCTTTTCCTTGTCCATCACTGAAACCCTGTGCTGGACATGTCCTTTAGTCCCTGCTTTGTTCACTTGGTGCCAGTCTCCGCTCACTGAGTGCTCTGCTGTGACACTTCTCTGTAATAGCTGCACAGGGTTTTGTAGTCAGGGCACTCTCGGATCCTGATTCTGAACTAGAATCAGACACATACGAGTTAATACGACAGTTGTCACTGTCATTACTGTGGGCCCAAGTCAAGTGCTACTGGATCCTTTATATCCCCGCCAAAGAATTGTTTAAAAATGCAACAATACGCGTTTTGTTCAACCACAGGGATATCGAGTGCCTGTTATTTGCTGGGCTTTGCCAGAGGTTAGAGACACTGACATGAATACAAGATCGTTTGGCCATCAGGTTCTGAGCAGATATTTTAAAAAAAGTCTCTATTGTACCATGTGTACACACACACACAAACACACATATATACGTATACATATATATATATTTCCTAGAAGTACTAGAGTTGTTACTGCTATGACTAAGGAGCATTTATGTGCCATGTCTGATTTAGAAGATTGATGGTATGTTCTACCCATTTGACAGCTGGGGAAGCTGAGGCTCAATAAACTTCGCCTGCAGCTTCCTTTTTGTGTTCTTTCAAGAACCTGACCCAGAGTTACTGAGCAGGAACCTCAGTTTTGCACGGGAACGGGGGGCTTGATGGCTCTTGAGAGCAGCAGATTGTGTGGGTGCCCCACCTTGGCCCTTTTCTGGGTCCTTCTCTCCAGTTTTGGTCTGACTTTGGTATTAGTTTGTAGTATTTTAGATTGCAGGCTCTCTGTCTCACCTGCTGTTTTGAATTGCAGCTAAACAACCCTGAGATGGTGGAGGGCCTGGTCCTCATCAACGTGAACCCTTGTGCAGAAGGCTGGATGGACTGGGCCGCCTCCAAGGTTAGGCTGGGGCCTGGCTTAGGCAGGTGGGGTCCGTGCATGGCGAGGGACAGGTGCACACAGCCTGTGCCTGGAGGAGGCAGGTAGCCGCAAGACCTCTCTTAACCTCACTCCTCCACTACCCCCTACTGCCCACCCCCAGCAAAGAAAGAAGTTTCCCTCTGCTTTGCTTACAAAGGTGAACGTGACTTCAGCTATTTGTCATTCAGAAGATTTAGAAAGGACTGTGCTATCTAAGCCAGGGATACCACTGGGACACGGGTCTCAAGCCAGCTTGGATAAGCATCACTAAGATTAATAAGTATTTGCTGGGTGCCTAACACATGCTGGACTTTGCTCAAGATGCTGAGCATCCTATGGATGAGGCTTCTTGAGATGAACAGGTCAAAAGCCTTTCATCTTAGGAACCTGCATATTACTGACAAAACACAAAGCTATGTTGGGTACTGACCATGACACTAAGTTTTAAGGTAATAGTTGGCTCACCCCTATGACGTTTACTACGTGCTGGTACTACTAGGCTTTGTTGTATGTGCATTACCTCACTCACCCCTCGCAGTAACTCCAGAAGGTAGGAATGTTATAACCATTTTACACAGGAGGAAACTGAGGCTCAGAGTGGTTAGGGAAGTTGTTGAGAGCCGTGCAGAGCTAGGCAGTGGAACTGGGACTGGATGCAGCGCACCTCGACTCCATGTTTCATGGCTTGACTATCCCAGGGGCTCCTGGTCCAGGGAGGGCGACGGGCAGGCCTGGGCCAGCAGGGTGGGCTGCCAGACGGAGAAGGGCTGAGCTGTCCCTGCCTTGGCTGGTGTCCTGAGGTTCCGTGTTTATCTTTTAAAAACGATTATTGTTTTATTTTTTAATTTTTTTTTGTAACACGGCCCCAGTGTTTGCCAAGGAGAGGGGGGAATCATTCCAATTGAAATAGGACAAAGCCTTTCAAAAAGCTGGAGTGCTCCTGGCTTCTCATTTGTAAAGTATGTTTTTGCCAAGTTTGGGGTGGCTGTTGGGGACAGAGCGTTCAAAGGGGCCATGCCCCTCTCCCCATTTCCCCTTCCTGTCCTGGCCACTCTGATATTGCATTTCTTCCTCGAACATTCCACCAGAATGCGGGAGCCCTTCCCTCCTGCCTGCGTGACATTCAGAAGTGAAACATACTCCCTGTTTTTTATTTGATTTTCCAGCAGAGGAAGTGACATTCCAGTCAGCCAGTTTGGCTCTTTGATAGTTGTTCTGAGCCAGACTTGGAGAGCTGGGGGCCTTGATCACTGGCTGCAGTGGAGCCTGAGGAATGTTTGTGGGGTTTTGATATTTGCACCGTATTCTTCCTTCTCAACCCCAGCCTTGGAGAAAGAAGACCTATACCTAGGGCCTACTGCTTGTCAGGCATTGGTGTCAGATACCCTGACACATGTAGTTGCCTCTTGTAATCCTCACCTTGACCTCGTGCCCTGAAGCTCCTGGCACCCTCAGTTACAGATGAGAGGTCTGCAGCCTGCACAGTGCCACACAGCTGGAGCGTGGCAGTGAGAGGCCAGCTGGGGACCCCCAGACCTAGAGCTTCTCTCCCCTACCAGTCCCTGCCCAATGTTGAAGTCAGTCAGCACACATTTACGGATCTCCTGCTGTATACATAGTATTTATGGAGCTCATGTTAGCATTTATGGAACTCATGCTGTATACCTAGGATTGTTGCTGGGAAGAGGTAGAAAGGAGAAGGTCGTCAGTGCCTTTCATAACCTCAGTATACTCAGAGTGAGGAAACTGGCTTGAGGGGAGAAAGCTAGAGGAGAATATAGGGGTAGTTGGGAGCTAAGCAGATCCTGGGGTGAAGGCTAGGGGAGCTCAGAGTGTGTTTAGAAGAGGTAGATGGGACGTGTAGTGAGTATTTGGAGCAGAGTGAACTAGGAGCTAGTTGCTGCATCTTCTGTGCGTGAGGCTCTGCGGACAAAGGGTTGGACAGAGACCCAGGCCCACCTTCCAAGGGCTGCCAGTCCAGTAGGTAACCAGAGACAGGAACTGGGTTCCCCTCGAGAGGGGTGTCCTCGAGACCTGATGCTGGACGGCCTGGTACTGCCATTCCGCCCCCAGGGCAGTGGGTTGTGCTGACCTTGTTAGCTACTGTCAACTCCTGGTTTCTGAGCCACCTGCTTTTGATCCTCCCCAGATCTCTGGATGGACCCAAGCCCTGCCAGACATGGTGGTGTCCCACCTCTTTGGAAAGGTAAGTAGCATGGCCTGGCATTCTGTTGTTCACACAGAGCAGTCAGTAACGTGGCACCCAGCAGGGGCCACATGGGCGGGTAGAGGTCAGTAAGACACAGTCAAGTGGGGGCCATCGAGCCAATGCCCATGAAATGATGCGACGTTCATTATTCACTTAGCACTTAGAATGAACCTTCCATTCTCTTTTTTTTAGACATAGGTCCTCTAAAAACAGCTTTATTGAAGGACAATAAACTGCACATATTTAAAGTGTGCAATTTGACAAACTCCAGCATAAATATATGTCCATGAAACTATCACTGATGTTAATATAATAAACATCTCCATCACCCCAAAAGTTTCCTTGTACCCCTTGGTCATCCTTCTCTTCCATCTCCCTAGGCAGCTTCTGATCTATTTTCGTGCCCTATAGGTTAGTTTGCATTTCTTAGACTTCTATATAAAAGGCATCATGTAGTATAAACTTGTCTGGGTGGAGGGATCTGGCTTCCTTCAGTCAGCCTGGCTGTTGCTGAGTGTATCGATAGTTCACTTATTTTCCGTGCTGACTAGTATTCCGTTGTATAGACGTACCACAGTTTGTCCTTCTGTTCACCTGCTGATGGGCCTTTGTGTTGTTTCCAGTTTGGGACTAAAAAAAAGCCCATAGTGAACATGTCCATGGAGTTAGTAGTGTGCCAGGATGAGTCGTAAGGCCTGTCCAGCCTCCACTGTTGCCTGTCTTGGATGGGTCACCAGTCTGTAGTTACCCCACCAAGGGGGGACAGAGCCAAACCCCTTGCAACATGCTTGTAGTGCGTGGACCTATCCTTCCTGGCCTGGCCAGCTGGGCCTCTGACTCTGGCTGTGTGTTTCTAGCCAGGGCTGACAGCCCTGGTGGGGAGGTGCTGTGAGCTCTGATGCAAGCCGCAGATCTGGAAAACCTCTCGGTTGCCTGAACTCAAGGTGCCCTTCTCTGTCTCCTGTGTGTGGTGCACACACCACTGTCAGCTCCTGAGCTAACGTGTGTGACCGTCTGATGCTCCTGTGAGTAGTAGAGAAACCAATGCTCCACTTTGTGGTTGGCAAGCTGTACCCACTAGGTTTGGCCATTGTATTAGTTTCCTGTGGGTGCTGTAACAGATTACTGCAGACTGGATGGCTTAACAACAAAAATGTGCTCACTCACAGTTCCAAAGCCCGGGACTCTGAAGTCGAGTGTTGGCAGGACTTCACCCCCAGCACGGGCTCCAGGGGAGAGGCCCCCTTGCTGCTTCTAGCTTTAGGAAGCTGTCAGCATTCTTTGGCTTATGGCTGCTCCCTCCAGCCTCTGTCTCCGTCTTCACGTGGCCTTCGCCTTTATGTCTGCTTTAAATCTCCCTCCTTTTTCTCTTATAAGAATACTTGCCATTGGATTTAGAACCCAATGGAATAATCCAGGTTGATCTCATCTCAAGATCCTTAAATAATTATGTCTGCAGAGATCCTTTTCCTAAACAAGTTCACATTCACAAGTTCCAGGGATTTGACATGAACATATATTTTGGGGGTCGTTGTTTAGCCCGTTACCATCCTCTTTTTTACGGTTCATTTCACAGTTTGTGATCCATTTTGTCTGCCCCGAATATGTAATCTGAAACTGATAGGAATTTGGAAAAATTCAAAGCCAGTGTCTCTGTTTCCTTGGAGGAAGGGTGTCAGGTATAGTGTTGAGAGTCTGACCTGATTGCACCCCAAGTGATGTGGAGACCGGGTGGTCAGGCAGTGGTATCCGCTGGTGCCCCCAAGTTACCGTAATTGTGTTTTGATCTGAAATCCTCGTGCGATTCCCGATTTTTTCTTGATTTTTCTTTTAATGGCCAGTTGGCCTCCTTGTTGCTTAAGTGACCGCAGGCTGTTTTGACGGAGCTCGAGCTCGACATTGGCTTTCTCTGCTCCCTCCCACCCCTGCCACGGTTGCCTCTGATCACAACAGAGCCTTTTGTGAAAATGACAGCATCTGCCATTGCACAAATGAGAAGCAGAGAAAGTTCCTCACTTGTTCGTCCCAAATCACATTCAGAAAGCATCCAGAGAGAGGGACGGCTGAAGCTGTCTTCTGGAAGGCTTGGTGGGCCCCTGTGGGAATCGAGATTGCCCTTTTGCCAGCAACATCCCATGGCATGAGTTGGTTTTATTCTTCAAATGTAAAGAACTTCTTTCCACTTCTTCCCCATTAAAAAAATAATTGCTAACCTTTGCATCTGATTTTTACTGTTTGCAAAGGGCTTTTGTGTGTGCAACCTCTCTAAGTTCCCCGTGGTGAAGTAGGTAATATTATCCACTTTTTTTTTTTTTTTTGAGGGAACTGAGGCTCAGAGAGGTTAAAAGATTTGCCCAAGAAAGGGGCAGTGATGGAGCGAAGCTCTGTATCCAGGAGGATTGATTTCAAATCAAAACTCCCCAAGTAATGAGCCCAGAGGGCACACTTTGCTCTTCTGGGTGTGCGTCCTTTCCCACTTCCAGCTGGTAGTCAAACATCAGCGTACACCCGGCTATGGACGTGGTGCTTTCCTGGAAGTTTCCTTGGGCTCCATAGCTATTTTGTGGATTAGGCATCCTAAGCCTTTAACTGAAGAAGCAGGAGAATGGAGAGAGTACTGAGCAGCCCAGGGCCACAGCACAATGAAGGACGTTCCCCCTCTCTAAATGCAGGAGGAAATGCAGAATAACGTGGAGGTGGTCCACACCTACCGCCAGCACATCGTGAGTGACATGAACCCCAGCAACCTGCACCTGTTCATCAACTCCTACAACAGGTATTGGGAGGTGGCTCTGCCACACGGTTGCCATGTCTCAGGCTCTTTTCGTAGGTCTGGAATATGGGGCAAAGGAAAGGAGGTTTAAAAATCAGTAGAAGATGCAGGCCCTGAATTTGAGCAAATAGAGTCATAGGGCGGGGTGCCTGGTAAGGACGCTTGTGTGTGAGGTGGTTCCTGCAGCTGTGCGAGATTTGCAAGGTTCTGAGCTTCCACACCAGGCCACCAGGGGTGTGGACATAAGTGGGACACAGTCATGCACTCAGAGGGTTGAAAGTAAAGTCCTGTGCGTGTGGCTGACCTTAGGAAAGGCCAGATGTGAGGATTGTTGAGAGAAAGAGCAGCGAAGCCCTTTTCTCAGCAATCCTCAAAGGGAGAGTGGGAGGAATCGGGGAGGCTTCTGGAGGTGAGTTCGTCATTCTGAGGATAAGGAGGATCCGAACACAGCCTTTGGCAGGGGTGTAGCCCTCCTGACAATAACCTAGTGCTTGTCTGGAGCTCAGCTAGTGAAGGGGCCACTGCTATCAGTCAAGGGTTCTGGAATCTTCAGGAAGCTCACTCAGCCTGCCGAGCTAGCTCTGCCACACTCCCCCAAAAGGGGACAGGACGGAGCCTCAGAGGGTTTAGCTCTCCTCAAATGTTAATAGCTGGATTTCATGAAATGCACTAGCGTGTGTGACAAAGTTTAGTGTCATTTCCTTTTACAGTCCTGCCAGCATCTCACTGCAGGAGGCACTAGTAATATTCTCACTGCATAATTAAAGAAACAGGCTCAGCAGTTTGTTTATTTAGCAAACACTTACTAAGAATTTGAGGGAGTGTAACTTTTGGCTGGGCTGTGGGGACACAGAGGAGACCATCACCAAGCTCCAAACCCCGAATTCTTCCTTGCCCTCATGGAGAGCACAGCAGTTAACCAATTCCTCTCAAAAACCCTGCTACAAGCTTGCCGTTATCATTTCCTGCTGAGGCAGCAAAGGCACAGAGAGGTTCACTATTACACCTGGGGTCACACAGCTAGGAAGTGGTGGAGCATTATTTGAATCCTGCTTGTCTGGCTCCAGGTTGTGAGTTGGGAAAGAGCTTCTCACGTTGGGAGCTACAGGATGGCAGAGAGGGTGGGCACATGCATGCAGAGGAGGTGGTTGACACTGGGCTGGGCCCACACTGGACCTCATGCTGGCACAGTGGACACCATCAGAGGGTTTGAAACAAGGGGGTGAAAAGATCAGGCCTGAGTTTTAAAGAGATCATCTGATTACTCTATAGAAGACTTGGTGCTGGTAGGTTTAGAACTTAGACTGAGAGTGGAGGCTGGAAGACCGCCAGCCAGGAAGCTGGTCCATTTGTCAGGTGGGGGCTCTGACTAGGGCACAGGGGGTTGGTACCCTCTGTAGTGGAAGACATGATTTGTACTTCTGTAAGAAAATTAATAATATGCATTTGGGACAAAATGAGGTGGGTTCCACTGGTAATACATGAGTCCTGCAGCCCTTTAACTACCTCTATGGACACCAAGAGGCGGTGGTGTCCCAGAACTGAAGTGCCCTAGCACATGTAGGTGGTTTTCCCGAGTGGCCGATGGCAGGAGCCCCAGGACTTGGCTCAGTGGGTCAGGGGCTCCCTGCAGGCAGGGTCTGCTGCTGCTAATGATGTGTATGTTGCCTACAGCCGGCGGGACCTGGAGATCGAGCGGCCGATGCCGGGAGCCCACACGGTCACCCTGCAGTGAGTTTTTTTTTTATCATTTCCTGCTGAGGCAGCAAAGGCACAGAGAGGTTCACTATTACACCTGGGGTCACACAGCTAGGAAGTGGTGGAGCATTATTTGAATCCTGCTTGTCTGGCTCCAGGTTGTGAGTTGGGAAAGAGCTTCTCACGTTGGGAGCTACAGGATGGCAGAGAGGGTGGGCACATGCATGCAGAGGAGGTGGTTGACACTGGGCTGGGCCCACACTGGACCTCATGCTGGCACAGTGGACACCATCAGAGGGTTTGAAACAAGGGGGTGAAAAGATCAGGCCTGAGTTTTAAAGAGATCATCTGATTACTCTATAGAAGACTTGGTGCTGGTAGGTTTAGAACTTAGACTGAGAGTGGAGGCTGGAAGACCGCCAGCCAGGAAGCTGGTCCATTTGTCAGGTGGGGGCTCTGACTAGGGCACAGGGGGTTGGTACCCTCTGTAGTGGAAGACATGATTTGTACTTCTGTAAGAAAATTAATAATATGCATTTGGGACAAAATGAGGTGGGTTCCACTGGTAATACATGAGTCCTGCAGCCCTTTAACTACCTCTATGGACACCAAGAGGCGGTGGTGTCCCAGAACTGAAGTGCCCTAGCACATGTAGGTGGTTTTCCCGAGTGGCCGATGGCAGGAGCCCCAGGACTTGGCTCAGTGGGTCGGGGGCTCCCTGCAGGCAGGGTCTGCTGCTGCTAATGATGTGTGTGTTGCCTACAGCCGGCGGGACCTGGAGATCGAGCGGCCGATGCCGGGAGCCCACACGGTCACCCTGCAGTGAGTTTTTTTTCCCCAGCTACTTGCAGACAGGGCTGCTGACTGTCTATTTAGCCTTGCTCATGGTTGCTTCCAGGCCCTTCTTCTGAGCGTGGCACGGCTGCCACACTTGTGGTTAGGGTAAAGTCAGTGAGAAGCGGATGTCTTCTATCCAGGGATCAAGCACTGCCCTGTCTGACTTGGACTTCTCCCTGTGCAGGTGGCATCGGTCCCTAGGGTGTCCCCATGACGTAGGTTGGAGCCTTCAATCTCTGAGAACATACGAGGACCTCACTTTGGACAGGATTGATTAAGCACCTACTGTGTCAATAACTGTGTCAGGCTTTGCTTCACAGAGACTAGAACTGAATGACATAGAACCCACCCCTAAGGTGCTTTATGAATCCAGGAGGAAGAGACAGCCGTAGACACCGCTAACTGAGAATGCACCTGTAACGATGGTGTCTTTCTGTGAACCCTTGATCACACCGCATTGTCTGACACTTGGGAGTTTGCTCAGGTCGTTTCCTCTGTCATTCATGCCATTCTTGTCTCTGTCTTGATTGCCAGCAAAGTCCTGCTCATCCTGCCTTGAGGAGAGCGTGCTTTAAAATAAAAACATCAGGGCACAGAAATTCTGGGCTAAAAGTCACACTAAGGTGTAAATGACTACTAACCGTTACATCCTAAGAACAGAGCTGAGGATGGAGGGAGAATGAAGTAAAGAGAGCAAAGCGTACTGGGGTCACCAGAAAAAATGTTTTAGAATCTTGGTCCCAGCCTGACAGGCCTGGGAGTGTGAGGATCTTTAAGCGAACCTTGTTTCTAACTCTCTACCCGCTTTCTGTCCTTGCTTCCAGGTGCCCTGCTTTGCTGGTGGTTGGGGACAACTCTCCTGCTGTGGATGCTGTGGTACGTGGAAGTTGATAACAAAGAGAGCAAAGCGTACTGGGGTCACCAGAAAAAATGTTTTAGAATCTTGGTCCCAGCCTGGCAGGCCTGGGAGTGTGAGGATCTTTAAGCGAATCTTGTTTCTAACTCTCTACCCGCTTTCTGTCCTTGCTTCCAGGTGCCCTGCTTTACTGGTGGTTGGGGACAACTCTCCTGCTGTGGATGCTGTGGTACGTGGAAGTTGATAACTAGTTTCTATGTTTAATTCAACAGTCCAAGTCCGGGTGACTTTGTGTGCAGTTGTCCTGCCCTTCCTCTCCCCTCCTCTGCCCCCATCAGGACAGTTTTTTTAATGCTGTATTGACCTTGGCCAGAGGGCCCAGCCCCCAGCCTCTTTCCCTGCTGACGGCCAGTCCTAGTTACTTGGCAATGGACCCTCCGTCTCTCTCCAGGCCCCTCACCTGCCCATCTGCTGCCCATCAGCCTGTTTCTATGGGCGTGTATGCCACTTGGCTTCTTTGCCAAGAGACTCGCCTCTCACTTGGGAAGCAGGTGGACCTTTCCGATGTGATTGGTGCCTGACGTCTGCAGGGAGAGAGGCACCTGGGAGGTGGGGTGGAGGCAGAGCTTTCTGACGCATTTCACTCCTTAATTCCACTCACGATGTTGTGGAGGCAGAGAGAGGACTCTGCCTTTCTGTCATGCCCACAGCCTCGGAGATGGGAGACTTAGGGGCTATTGACCAGAGCCCTAGAGTGGCAGCGTGCCTCATGCAGTGGCTGCAGAGTGGGATTTGCAGATGTTCATGTAGTAAAGACCCGGGGTGTCTTAATGAACCATGAGTTTCTTGTGGGCTGACCCACTGGAGATAATCGTAGGATGTGTCAATAGAGATGTATTGTTCTCATCAAGGGAGGTGATACCTGTAATTCTACTTTAGGCATTTTGAACATCACAGGCTACATATGGGTATTCTGACCAATTCTGGATGCCACTTTTAAGAAGGCCACTGACAAAATGAGGAGAGAAACCAGCTTGGTGAATGTGATTTCATATGAAGAATAGTTGTTGGAACCAAGGAGGCTAAACTTGTAGAATGGCTGGTTAAACAAAGCCATTTGTTTAGTAGATATTTCTGGATCACCTCCTGCACTTTAGCTAATCTTCATAATAATCTTTGGGGAAAAAAAGATATTATCCACATTTTATTAATGAGGAAATTGAGGCTCAAAGAAGTCACGTCCAAGGTCACACAGTTATGGCACGGCTAGGATTTAATGCTGCATTTGTTTAACCCTGAAGCCCACTTTCTCTCCTCTGTGCCAGTAGGGATGTTGGAGTCTCTGGTGACAGTTGACAGTGGCAGAGTAGCAGGGCAGGGGGAAAGGTTTTGACTTTAGCTCCAGGTAAAAAATTGACAAGTTTCTTCGCTCTTGTCCAGGTGGAGTGCAACTCAAAATTGGACCCAACGAAGACCACCCTCCTCAAGGTACAGGGAAAACCATGGGGGTTTGTAATTTTTCTTCCTTGGAGACCCTCAAGTTCTCTGCAAAACTGAGCTGTGCTCAGTGAAGGCACAGATGGTGGTCACAAACCATAGAGATAATGACTTAATATATCAATTTTCAAACATCTATGGGGTGCTGGCTGGAGATCTGAGGCTACAGAGATGAGAGGGTCCCTCTCTGGGACTGCAGGAGTCTATGGGCTGCTGGTCACGGGACTCTGGGGAGCGGTAGGATGGGCCACAAATGGCTTGCAGCAGCTCTCCTAAGGGCAGGGCCAGGACGTTCCTCCAAGAGGAGCTCTGCTTGTCAGATAGGAACAACTGTCTCCCAAGGTGAGGCAGACTTCCCCAGCATGCTCATCCAAGCCTGTGGTGTGCTTGCTGTCTTGTGGCTGGATCTGAGGGTCTGTAGCAACCTAAGCCATTTACGTCCTGTCAGTTAAGCTGATTGCACAATTGAAACCAGAGGCTGCTTGTGGCAGCCTTGACCGGAGAGGCAGCACAGAAGCAACCTTTCAGAGGGGTCTCCCAGGCCCAGTCGTTCTCCTGTGAGGACAGGTGACCAGGAGGGACCCGTGTGAAAATGAGACAGTCCCCTGCATCCGGGGGAAGACAGGGAGATGGCATTGATAGGTCACTGTTTCCTCAGGCCTCCCCGCAGAAGTAGAATGCCTTTGAAAGGCGTGGGGGGGGGGGGGGTCCCTGGATTGGCCTCTTTGCATACATTTTCTTTCAAGATTCCCCCAAAAGCTAATCGCAAGATTGGAAGATGCTAGGCTTTGAGCCTGCATCATGCTAGGCTTTGGGGGCTGCTGTAACAAAGTTCCATAAATTGAGTGCCTTAAAACAACAGAAATTTATTCCCTCGCAGTCTTGGAAGCCAGTATTCCAAAGATCTAGGTGTGGGCAGGGCCATGCTCCCTCTGTAGGCTCGGGGGAGAACCTTCCCTGCCTCTCCAGCTTCTGGCAGTGCTGGCAGTCCTTGGTCTCCTGGCCTGCAGATGCATCACTCCCGCCTCCGCCTCCATCCTCACACAGCCTTCTTCCCTGTGCGTTTGTGTTCACATGTCCCTCTTTTAAGGACATCACTCATGGATTTAGGGTCTACTCTTATCCAGTATAACCTCATCTAAACGTGATTACATCTGCAAAGACCCTATTTCCAAATAAGGTCACACTCACAGATACTATACTGGAGGTTAGGACTTCAGTATATTTTTGGGGGGGACACATCTCAACCCACAACCAAGGGTAGGTGGCCTGATAGGTCAGGTGGCTAATTTCAGGGTGGATCCAGGATCAGAACCCACTTCAGCCTGATTATAGATAGACTCTCCCCAATGCACCAGCCTGGTCTGCTGAATCTTGCCCTGGAGTTAAAGTTCTGACATCCCGTGGCTGGCATTGTCACTGAGCTGAGGGCCACCCAAGCTTAGTGTGGCCTTGTAGCCAGTGCCCAGGGTCCAGCCTGGAGGAGGCTCCTGGGGCTGCAGATGGCCATGGCCTCACCAGACCTCACTCTTTCCTTCCAGATCTGTTTTCCCCAGGCTGCCTCCATCCCACTCTCACCCCACTGCCTGAGCGCTCTCAAGCCCTAGGCACAGCTCATTCCATTTCGAGATAATCATCTACACATGCCTGAAGTGGGCTCAGTTACCTGGCTATGGCTTTAGGTTTGGTGATCGAATAGAAACTTGGAAAGTTTCAGCATTTACAAAGGATGACCCATCAGGAGCCCCGTCAAGCCTGAAGCCTCCAGTCCAGCAGTGTCCTTCCAAGGGAGTTTTGAAAGGCAACATGCGTAACAGGCCCTTTTGAGTCAGACAGATCCTGGCCAGAATCTTACAAGTTCCTCCAGCTCTCTCTGGTCCAGTTCCTGCCTCTAAAATGGGACAATTTTACCTTCCATGATTTTTGGGAAGTGGAGTGGAATTATCCATAGGCCTAGCACGGTTCCTAGCACACTGTAAGCTGCAAGTAGTTGTTGCCAAGGAGACACAGTCTGATGCTGAGAGGGTAGTGATAGAAGCTGCAGCCTTGCTAGGTGGGGTTGGGGTGCTCCTACCCTTAACTTACCCAGCTCCCCATCAACAGGGTGGGGCAGCAGGCAGTGTGGGTGCCCATTTGGAACTGGCCCACAGGGCACAGGTTGCCTTGGCTGAGGTGTTTGGTACTAACCAGTGTCCCTCCCTCCTAGATGGCGGATTGTGGTGGCCTCCCGCAGATCTCCCAGGTAAGTGCTACCTTGGCTTTTGTGTTAAACACCTGTCCCCTGTCCCCAGGTGCAGTGTCTCTGTGACCTGTTAACACCTTTTTTCTCACTGCCTCTCTGTGGCATTGGATAACAGTTTGTGGACAAATTACTGTTTGTAAAAGGTGCTTGCACATGATCCACCAGAAACCCACCCCTGTGGAGTAGATGACAGTGGGGTCCCCAGAGATTAAGGGATGTGCCAGGTGGGCACAGCTGCTCATGCTGGGTTAGAAGCTAGATGTGCCTGCCCCAAGGAACACAGGCTCCTGCTGGAGCAAAGGTCCCCCAGGGAGCTCACGCCCAGAGGAGAGGAGCATAGTGGAGACTAAACTAAATTGTGCGTGTGTGTGCACGTGTGCGTATTTGTGTCTCTGTGTGCACACGTGGGTGAGTGCTCACATATAAACATATAAATCTATATAGTGTGTTTGCTGCATGATAACTGACCCCCTTCAAGTCCCCTGCCATACTTTTGTGTTTTGTCCTGTCAACACTTGGTGGACTGTGTCTTGGGCCAAGTTGCTGGATGAAGGTGACCAGAGGTGACCTCCAGCAACTGACTGCTCGCTGTCCTTTTCTCCTGCAGCCAGCCAAGCTTGCCGAGGCCTTCAAGTACTTCGTTCAGGGCATGGGATACAGTGAGTATCATGTTTTCCAGTGTTTCAGGGGTCGGGGCAGGTGTGGGGACTGGAGATGCAATGCCCTGAGCCAGGTTTGGATGCGTATTCTATGGCGCCTGGGCCAGGCTCAGCTTTTCGCCAGTTGGACAGGGCAGAGGAAGAAACTTCAGGCATGTGGAGGGTGGGCGGCAGTCTAGAGCTCCTTGTCTCTCGATTGTGACAGAGTGGCTCATTTTCCCCCTTTGTTGAACAGTTGTTTCACACCAGGGTTTTTTAGGTTTAAATGAGGACTATCCTTTCAAGCAGCAAGAAGATAAACACTGAAACAATGAAAATCTCTTTAATTTTGATTACATGCTCTCTTGGGAGACTGCCAGTTGTAGTGGTGATGAAACATTATTAATAAATCTTTTATTTTTTCTCATTTAACCATCACGATAATCCTGTGAGATATCGTTATCCTTATTTTACAAATGTTGAAACTGAGGGTTTGAGCAAGGAGCAGGTTGGGGCTCCATGAAAGTTCTTTGCAAACTATAAAGCTCTGTATAAATGGTGGCTAATGAAGTTGCTTGAATTCAAGACAGAGCATATCTTTGCTAAATCATTAGATTTGGGAACTGAAGGATAAATAGAGGCACAAGTTGAAGAACTTGCTACTTCTTGCTTTCTGATTATAGTTTCTTTGTTAGACATATACGGCCTTTTTCTCAGAAATGCTGTGCTGTGACCAGGATAGTCAATATGGGGTTTAAATGCAGTTTTCAGTCGTGGCCATGGTCGGTCCTGGTTGCTACGTTACCACGGTCGGTACTGCTTGCTATGTTAGCCAGGGTTCTGGCCCTGAGGTGGCTCTTTCGGCCCTTCTTGCCCACTGCTTGGGATTTTACTTTTGTGCCTTGCTTGGTTAGGAAGGCTTTGGATTTCTAATCTCTTGCATTTTTTTTCCTAAACTGTTCTCCTGTATAAGATAGTAACAATGTGTCTGGAATATCAAGTGCAGTCTGAAGTTTGGCTTCAGCTATGTTTAGTTTCTAGCAAGGTGGAGAGTGGGCGAGTCTGATTTACATGCCTCGGGCGGGACCCACGTCCTGAGGTGCCCTCTTCCAACAGAAAGCATTTGCCTGTGGTCTCTGCCTCTCCAGCCCGCTTTGCCTGTGGGGTGTGTGCAGGCCAAGGCTTTTCTGCAGAGAGCAGCTGGGCAGCCCTGTTTACCTTCAGGGCGTGAATCACAGCTCATTTGTCTTGGACCTGCCATGGGTTTGGATTTCCACTTTGAAAGTATATTTTGGAGAGAAAGGAAGTGAAAGCAGGCCTTGTGTTTTTCCCGCAAATCAGCTTCTATGTCCAGGAAGCTGCAGCAATCTGTAGGTGTGGGGGTCACAGCAGGAAGAGCTACAGTCCCAAAGGCATCAACCAGAGAGAAAGAAAGTAATTATTCACCGAGTGCCTGCTCACAGTCGTGGCTGGCAGGACTAACGCTTTACATGCCTGACATCATTAGATGGTCACCATAGCCCTGGGAGGTCAGTAAAACTCCCAGATTTTGGGTCGAGAAATGGAGGCTCAGAGAAAATATGTGAGCCACAGGTGTGGGATCAATCCCTTCCTTGCTGGATTCAAAACTAGCTTGTTAAGAGAAGAGTTCAGTACAGCAAGGCTGAATTCTGTTTGTGGATGTCTGTCCTAAAAAAGCCTACCCATGTGCCTGTCAGTGAATAATGCCACCCCTACATGCACATATGTCCTTGAGCTGCCTCGGTCTCTGGTGTGCACACCTCAGTTCAGCCTTCCTAGTGACGCTTCGGTTGGGTGGGGGTATTCGTTTTCTAGGGCTGCCCTAACAAATCCCCCAAAGCTAGGAGGCTTAAAATAACAGGACTTTATTCTCTCACAGTTCTGGAGGCTAAAAGTCTTAAATCAAGGTGTCGGCAAGGCTGTGCTCCCTCCCAAGGCTCTAGGGGAAAGTCCTTCCTTGCCTCTTCCAGCTTCTATTGGCTCCAGTAGTCCGTGGCCTTCCGTGGCTAACGGCCACATCCCTTGAGTGTCTGCTCCGTCTCTGCATGGCCGTCTTCCCTGTGTGTCTGGGTCTGTTTTCTTATTAAGGATACCAGACATTGGATTAGGGATCATCTTAATCCAGAATAACCTCATCTTAACTAATTATATTTGCAAAGACCCTATTTCCAAATAAGGTCACATTCTGAGATTTGAGATGGAGATGAAACTGGGGGACATTATTCAACCCCAGACAGATAGGGAGGAGTGTTGGATTGTCCTTCCACTCTGCCAGCACCTGCCATGCACAAGGGCATTTACAGTCTTAGGGAAGATCCTGAAAAATGAACAGCCTCCCTGCTAGTGCTGGGAGCTAACAGGCTTCTTGGAGGCAGAGAGACAACAACTAACAACAGCTCCGCCACAAACTGGCTGTGTGGCCTCAGTTTCCCACCTGTGATGTACCTGGATTAGCCTGGCTGGCCTTAAGTGTCCTTCCTACTCCAGCAATTGCTGACAGTATGGGGTAGTGTGCATACACACAGGCACTGATACTGGCAGGTTGGTATTAGTGTCCCCATTTTATAGATGGGGACAGGGAGGCTCAGAGAGGCACATGCCCACAGTCACACAGCTATTTAGCAAGTAGCAGAATTGGGATTCAGACCAAGATCTCGGTTCAAGTCACTTGGTGTGTGATTGCAGCAAGTCCTCCCTCCATCTGGGCTGTCCCCCTCTGTGAGGAGACACAGAGACAGCAGGAAGCCCAGCAGCTGGGTCACTGCAGGGATTTAGGCAGGAAGGGAAGAGCACTTGGCCAGGGTCGGACATGTAGGAGGGCTTTCTGGCTGGCAGCAGGTGCATCTGGTCTTGCCCCTTGTAGAGGTCTCCCCTTGTCTGATCGGGCTGTCTCCTGTCTCTCCAGTGCCCTCTGCCAGCATGACCCGCCTGATGCGGTCCCGCACGGCCTCCGGCTCCAGCGTCACCTCCCTGGAGGGCACCCGCAGCCACAGGGAGGCTCAGAGAGGCACATGCCCACAGTCACACAGCTATTTAGCAAGTAGCAGAATTGGGATTCAGACCAAGATCTCGGTTCAAGTCACTTGGTGTGTGATTGCAGCAAGTCCTCCCTCCATCTGGGCTGTCCCCCTCTGTGAGGAGACACAGAGACAGCAGGAAGCCCAGCAGCTGGGTCACTGCAGGGATTTAGGCAGGAAGGGAAGAGCACTTGGCCAGGGTCGGACATGTAGGAGGGCTTTCTGGCTGGCAGCAGGTGCATCTGGTCTTGCCCCTTGTAGAGGTCTCCCCTTGTCTGATCGGGCTGTCTCCTGTCTCTCCAGTGCCCTCTGCCAGCATGACCCGCCTGATGCGGTCCCGCACGGCCTCCGGCAGCCGCTCCCACACGAGTGAGGGCACCCGCAGCCGCTCCCACACCAGCGAGGGAGCCCGCCTTGACATCACCCCCAACTCGGGGGCCACCGGGAACAGTGCTGGGCCCAAGTCCATGGAGGTCTCCTGCTAGGCGGCCGGCACGGACCACCACTCCGGACTCTGATGTCTGTAGCGGCCCCTGCTCGCCAGCCCCCTTCCCGCCCCTGCCTGCACACTGCGTGTAACTCGGTATTAATCCAAAGCTTCTTTTGTGAGAGTGAGCTCTGGCGATGACAGATGGGGTCTGTCAAGGGCACCCTCTCCGAGGAGGCCCAGGGCAGTGGACCAAAGGAAAAGCAGTATCTCAGTGGCCTGTTTTCATTAACCAGTGGCCTGGGTGCCACTCTCTTACCCTCTCTCAGAGACACCAAACTGCCAAAAACAAGAAACATCGCAGTCCACTCGTCACCAATCCAAGCCTAGGCTGACCCGAGCATCCTGGTTTACACAGTGTTTTGTCAGAAGGCTAGCCCACCTACTTCCTGTTTCCTCTCCAGTGAAAGAGAATCTGACCCAGTTTCTGGAAACAAAACCCTTGTCTGATTTGGAGAGGGCACAGCAGCGAAGTGTGGGCACCTCTTTTATGTAGGCACAACAGGAAGGGGCAGGAGGAGGTGCAATTGACCTGGAGCTGGAGGCATTTGGAAAAACACATCTCTGTGGTTCACTTGAAATCGATTTTTAAAGTTGGTGCATCTATAAACTTTTGAATGCCAAAGCATACCAGCCTGTTTTTCTGGCATCCTTTCAGTGTACAATGAAAGCAGGCGACAAAATCTCCCAGCTTTACAAAAAACCAGTTTCGGCCAGTGTTCAGTGTCATGGTTTTTTGAGGCTGTAGCTCTGCCCTGCCTCCTCCTCCACAGCCCCTACCTTCCACCCCAGGCACGTGAGTGTGTGTTTCGGTTCATGGGGAAGATCATTTAGATTTGTAGTTGCATTCTTTGAAATGGAGGGACTAGCCGTACCTGGCTGTGACAGAGTCTCCATTCAGGGGAGGGGGCAGGGGTTGGGGGTGGGGGATGGCGGTATTTGGGTTATTAGATGAAGGGATTCCTTGTGATCATGATGGGATCCAGTGCAGTTGTGATTTCTGTAAATCCCCACTTGTTTCCCAGGAACCTTGTGTGATTGATTGAAATCCAGTGTCCAATCTTTTGACAACTGGGTTGAATGGGAACTTGATAGCTGAGCATTTCTGACCTGGTAACGTTACTGGATCTTCACATAGAACTCTGTGCTCTTGTGGGAGGTGGGAATTCACATGGAAGGTGGTGGCTGAGCAGATGTCAGGATTCTGGAGTGTGCATTCCATGGGACTTTTCTCCTTCTGCCCCCCACTCTCCCGGCTCCCCTAACCTCCTTTCGTTGAATGGGGCGCACCACTGACATTTCTGAGCAACGTTGGTGTAGCTCACAGGTTTCTGTACTACTGCCTTTTGATTTTCACTTTGGCTAACCATGGATTTTCTTACAAAGTTTGATCAGAGTGAATCGAACATTGAGAATCAGCCACTGGGGCCTGGTCATTTTCAAGACCCCGAGGTGGGAGAAGGAAGTAGTCAAGCCTTCTAGGTGGCTGGAGAGGCAAGGACTCAGTTTTCCTGCCACTCACCACTTTGGAAGCTTCCCCTGACCTTGCCACAGAAAGGTTGGGGATCAGGGCAAGAGTGGCTGAATGCAGACCGGAAACTATTGTGTACAAGTCTTTCCAGAGGAGTTTCTTAATGAGATATTTGTATTTATTTCCAGACCAATAAATTTGTAACTTTGCAATGGCTTGTGTCCTTTGTCTAAAAGGCTGTGTGTGACATCCAGGTACAGGGATGGGTCTTTCAATGAGGGGATTGCCCGTCCTCGATCCCTGGGGTCTCCTGCCACATGCCCCCACCCCTTGACTTTGTTTTAGAGCAGCACTGACCAGTAGAAACAGGATATCAGCCACACAGGTAGCTTTACATTTTCCAGTAGCCACGTTAAAAAAAGTAGAAAGAAACAGGTGAAATTAATTTTAAACAGTACATTTTGTTATTCAAAATATATTCAATATATTCAAAATATTACCATTTCTATAAAAATTATTAATCAGACATTTAACATTCTTGTTTTCGTACTAAGGCATCCCGTGTGTATTTCACACTCATGGTGCATCTCAGTTCAGACCAGCCACATTTCAAGTGCCCGGTAGCTTGAATAGTACAGTGATACGAGGATAAAGTTTTCCAACCATAATAGAGGGGAAAACATCTTTTTTATACATTTTATTTTTGCTACAGAAAGGCATGTGGAACGACTACTCCTTTTATCATGCCCAATGGCGAGCGCTTTAACGTTTGCTTTCTACTGTACATTTTAAAAAATCTTTAAACTTTTTTCAGTATAACCTCCCATTTGATTTAAACTTTTTGTTCAAGATTAGTTTTAAATGTACAGAACAGCTGAAAAGATCATAGAGTTCCCATATACCCCACACCCAGTTTCCCCGATTATCAACATCTTACATTACTATGGTATTTTGTCACAACTAGTTCCTGTTAACTAAGCTCAAGGCTTTATTGGGATTTCGCTAGTTTTTTCCCAGTGTCCCTTTTCTGCCCAAGATGCCATTACCCTTAGTTGTCATGTGTCCTCAGCGTCCCCTGGCCTGTAACAATTTCCCAGCCTTCCTTCACTTCTTGACAGCTTTGAGAAGTGCGGGTCCGGCATCTCGCAGAAGGTCCCTCGATGGAGTTTTGTGTGCACTTTTGCTCTTGGTACAACTGGGGCTGTGGGTTTTGGGGGAAGGCCACANTTCCAACCATAATAGAGGGGAAAACATCTTTTTTATACATTTTATTTTTGCTACAGAAAGGGCATGTGGAACGACTACTCCTTTAATCATGCCCAATGGCGAGCACTTTAACGTTTGCTTTCTACTGTACATTTAAAAAAATCTTTAAACTTTTTTCAGTATAACCTCCCATTTGATTTAAACTTTTTGTTCAAGATTAGTTTTAAATGTACAGAACAGCTGAAAAGATCATAGAGTTCCCATATACCCCACACCCAGTTTCCCCGATTATCAACATCTTACATTACTATGGTATTTTGTCACAACTAGTTCCTGTTAACTAAGCTCAAGGCTTTATTGGGATTTCGCTAGTTTTCTCCCAGTGTCCCTTTTCTGCCCAAGATGCCATTACCCTTAGTTGTCATGTGTCCTCAGTGTCCCCTGGCCTGTAACAATTTCCCAGCCTGCCTTCACTTCTTGACAGCTTTGAGAAGTGCGGGTCCGGCATCTCGCAGAAGGTCCCTCGAGGTTTTGTGTGCACTTTTGCTCTTGGTACAACTGGGGCTGTGGGTTTTGGGGGAAGGCCACAGAGGTGAGGCGCCCTTGTCATGTCATACCCAGGGTACGTGCTCTCAACCTGGGTCATCGCTGAAGTGATGAGTCTGGATCCCCTGGCCAGCGTCCTGCTTGTCTGCCTTCTCCACCATCAAGTGGCTTTTTCTGCTTTTCCACAGTCTTTGGAAGCAAGTCGCTAGGTGCAGGTGTGGCCACGCCCAAGGCCACCTCCACCTCTTTTTAAATGGCTCTCTTCTTGGGCTGTTGTTGATAACGGTTTTCTTTACTTACGTTGAAGAGTTTCTTGGCTGTAAACTGTGTCTCTAGCTGTGTCTCTAGCTATAAACACTTTCGAACTCCATGCCGTGGTGCAGGGTGCATGTGTCACAGTTCTCGGGCAGTTTAAGAAATAGACTTGGAGTGACAGGGGGGCATTCACTCAGCACAGAGGGTAGAGAAGGCGTTCCAAGCAGAGGAGCCAGCTTGGGCATCAGCAGGGAGGGTGGACACGGTGTGCCTTTGAAGAGCCTGTAGTGCCAACCTGGGCAGGTGAGCTCATGTGCTGCGTGTGGCAGGAAGTGCTGGAGTGATGGTCTTGGGGATGAGGTGACTTCTCTACTGCTCTGCCCTCTCCTGGCAGAGACCAAAGGGAAGGCAGGCTCCCTGGGTCTCTTTGTGCCAAGGGTGAGCCCTTTGGTACATTAGAGAAGCCTTCAAACCCCCTTCTCAGAAGAGTTTTAAATGCGTAAAATAAAATGCATAAGATTGCAAGAGAAACCACTTACAGTGAAGTATAATTATCCAAATGTTACAACTGTGACATAATAACGTGCTTCTTTATTAATAGGCTAAATATGAAGTGTTAAGGCAAGTATCAACATTACTGCGATTTTAAAGTAGTGATAGCAGACTCTGAGGTATCTGCCACAAGGTGACCGTGACAAGATGATTAGCTGTGATTACAACTGGTGATATCACTGGGGTCCTTGCCTCCTCCGTTTAGAAGGAAATGCTAAGTTGCAGTTTGATTTTAATAAAAACAAAGCTGCATTTTCTCCCCACCTAAGGATGTGGCCCTCTGAATTCTATCCACAGACCCCCGGAGGCCCGAGGACCCCGGTTAGGAAGCCCTGCTTTAGAGGTCACAGGAGGAGCACATTGGTTCCTGCTAATTCCACAGTCATAAGAAGTGCCTTTCCTGCTTCTCGTCCTGTGTGAGAGGCAGGAACAAAGATAAGGTGGGTGGTGGACGATCTAGAGAGTAAGCCCCACAGCAGAGGTGTGCATGTCAGCCCTGGGGAGCAGGGGGTGGCACAGAGACCCGCTGTCAGGCTTCCACAAGGGAGGGAACTCTTACAGATATTTGCATGTACTGGATGCTATTTAGAGATGGTGTGCCCTGAGGCTGTTTTGCCAGCTGGGGGTCTATTTTTGTTCTCCTAGCTCCCTGCGTTGGTTTCAAATCCCCTGACCTTGGGTTTCAGCAGCAGTTGGGAAGTCAAGTGTGCACTGAGATCAACCATGTGCAGGGTCTGCAGGGACAACCAGGGTCCCCACCTGCCGCCTTGTCAATCTCACCATGAGAGTCATGGGATTGGTCCCCAGACGTAGTCTAATCCATCTGCTTACATATTTGTATTTGGCTTCTTAGGCTGCATGAAAACCCTTCCACGGTGTCCCACGGGCAAAAAGTGAGGCTCAGCCTGTGGGGTTAGTTATGGGATTGGGGAGGGAGGGGGCATAGTGAACAGATCAGCCTCCCTCTTTCTAAGATCAACTTTTTTTGAAACTCTGAAGCATAAAATGGTACTACCTGGACTTTTGGTTCTTGGACCCAAAGCCAATAAGGTCTTTGTGTCTCTTACGGGGAAGAATCTAAATGGTCCAGCCCTACTCTGGTGTCCACTCCCTGTCCCATCAATTATGACCAGGCTCATGTTACTCTCAACCCCTGCCCCGACATGCGTGCAGCAGGGGCTCCAAGTGATTGATGTGGTTGTGGCAGGTGAAAGGGCACGTCCTTTGCACAGTCGGCTCCACTGACAGCCCAGCTCACTGCTGCAGCACATGCCCTCCCTACCCCTGCTCTGACAAGCGTTTCCTGAGGCCCAGCCCTCCCGGGAAGCACAGGCCCCCCTGCAGAGATGGTGCAGGTGGCACCTGTAACGCACGTCACTTTCTGTGTCCTTTCCCCCCAAACCAGCGATTTCTTTCTTTTTTATCTCCAGGGCCAGCTCAGTGCAAGCACATACCAGGAAGAGCACCTGTAACGCACGTCACTTTCTGTGTCCTTTCCCCCCAAACCAGCGATTTCTTTCTTTTGTATCTCCAGGGCCAGCTCAGTGCAAGCACATACCAGGAAGTTTTTATTAAATAAACAGACAACTACTTCCTCTCATAACTGTAATACTTAACATGCATTATAGTTTCCTTCTTCCTTTTTAATTCCTTATCTGTGAGGAGGAGTTATCCTTGCTTCAAAGATAAGAAAATCAAGGCTGAGAGAGATGGAAGGGCTTGTCCTGCCATTTCGAAAATGGCTAATACCCCCGCACCCTTTCAGAACAGTAGGACAGCTCACTGAGCACGCGGCTCGTGCCCCACCTGTTGGTGTTTGGGACTGTAGAGCATCAGTTAGCTCCTGAGACAGACTAGACTGTGGATGTCCATGAGGTTTTTAATGACTGTGGGCTATTTGTCCCTCCATTAAATAGTTTCTCTCTGACTTGGGCAACCTGCTTTTACGATACCTTTTATCTGGTTTTCAATTTTTCTACCTGCTCCTTTGCTGGCAGGCTGACATTGTCTCATTGTCACCAACGACCCTGCTCCTAGCAGCTTTCTCTCGCTTTTTATGACGTGGACGAAGAAACCCACATCACAGGCGTTGTGCAAAAAACAAGAGCAGTCAGGTTGAGAGTGGAGACCTGGAGACGTTTTTCACAGAGGGTATGAAACAGCACGTGGGCTTTGTGCCAACCTTTTCATTGCTTTCGAAGTCATTTTTGATCAGTTCTACATTTAGAAAGAGCACAGATTCAACTAGAGCTTGTCAGCAGGGCAGTGCGGAGCACTGGCATCTCCATCACATGCTTTTTGTGATAAAATGCTCTGGCCATTTCCCCCACATTCCATTTTCCCCAAACTTCAACCACCTGGTATCCTGAGAAATTCCCCCCAAAGTCTACACATTCATCTTAATCTGAAGCACCCGTGAGACTCCATGATCTAGCTTACAATTCTGAAAACAATTTGCTTCAGGATAGAGGTGTTCTTGGAAACGATTCATGTGACAATTATTTGTTTATTGGAATCAATTCTCCTCTTGACTTTTATTAGAATATCATCATGTGTTTGGGGGGGCGGGTAATGGACAGCTGAGCATGGGCTAAGTACTGTGCTGGGTTTGGGAGACACAGAAAAGTATAACACACTCTCCTGCCTGAAAGGA